TGGTTGTTGATCAGGTGGCTGTTGATCTGTTCGCCGAGCTTGGCAATCGGCTTGCAAACGTTTCGTCCCCAGTCGAGAAGACATCACTGCGCACTGATGATGTCTCCTCGTATGGTGACGAAACGTTTGCAAGCCAATTGCCAAGCTTGGCGAACAGATCAACACTGATCTGATCAACAACAAGTACCACCAAGTTGTATGATCTCTACTCACCGGTTGTTCGAAAGGGCTGCCAATACTTGCATGGACTAGTTGTTGAAACAGATCAACAGCCACCTGATCAACAACAAGTACCACCAAGTTGTATGATCTCTAATCACAGGTTGTTCGAAAGGGCTGCCAATACTTGCATGGACTCTTCAAGTTGTTGAATGAGTTCTTGCATTCTGTCGCTATTCAACAGAATGTTCCCACGATTCTTAAATGGCACCAATTCCAAATCCTTTTGTGACCATTCCAGGATCACTGCGTTCAACCTCGTTTCTATATCTTTCTCTCGGGTAGCTCCAATGCATATCTCTTCAACCTGTTCCCTCAGGCCGGCGTCATTCGATGCAATCGGTAAATGCAGCATCGTACCAAGAGTTACGTCGTTCACATCTGGATCCAAGTTTTCTATTCCAACTAACGATCCAATTTGTTGCCAGTGACGAGATTTCATAGCTGATGAGCGAAACATATTCAATAACGACATTTTTCCAACGTAATCGTTCAGTTTGACTGATAATTCAAGGTAGGTTGGCCAATGTTTAAGGGCTTTGGGTAAGTATTGACACCTGGAATGTAAGATAAATGCAGCAAGCCTCAGAACAAACAAAATTCCGCGAGTCTTTTTTCACCAAAACTATTTTCAAAACTGATACAGTGAGAGAGAAATCGAATTTACTTAGCGCTGTGCGACTTTCAATTGAGTAAATGATGATGAACTAACGGAGTGAAGCGATAGGATTCATATTATATTATATTATATTATATTATATTATATTATATTATATTATATTATATTATATTATATTATATTATATTATATTATATTATATTATAT